TGGTGGTGGTGAGGATGGTGGTGATGGTGGTGATGATGGTGGTGATGATGGTGATGGTGGTGGTGATGATGGTGATGGAGACGGTGATGATGATGGTGAAGATGAGGATGTGATGATGGTGATAATGATGATGATGATGGTGAAGACATGATTATGTTGACATGTCACGATGATAATGTTAATGATGATGAGGATGGCGGTGGTGGAGGATGATGAGGTGATGACAGTGAAGAGGAGAGTAGTGATATTGGTGATGGTATTGATGATGAAATAGGAGAGTGAGAATAGGCACCTTATCTCTCTTTCTCTCTCTCTCTCTCTCTCTCACACACACACACAGATACACCCTCTCCTCACTACCCCAGGTCTTCTCCAGCTTCCTGTGGTTCTGCCTAGAGTCATGTTCTCCACCATTCCCAGCCAGGTACTCTACATGGGGCTTGGGGATGAAGAAGATCCTGAGATGAGCAGTCAGAGGTATACTGAATGACTCTAGGCAAGTAGTTTTCCATCTTGGAGTCTCTCTTTTTCTGTCTGTAAAATGAAGGCTTAACGCTTTAGGGCTAAGATTAGTGTATTCTAAAACTCTTGTTCTGACAATCTCTTGCGTCATGTCCACAGCCAGTGTTTGTTGTAGCAGCAGGATTTGCAAATGGGAAGAATTCCAAATGTCATGATGTACACAGTTGGGCGTGTGTACATCAGAGTGCAGGACAGTGAGGTGCTGGTGGTGACTCTGCAACCCAATAGAGTTCAGTGGCTTCATATTGCCCAGAGAATCAAATCACACCCTCAGCCCTAAGTTTATGCCCTCCATCGTTTGGCCCTGCATCAGCCCTTTCCGTAAGGATAATATTCTAGATTAGTGGTTTCCAATTTATAGAGCCACAACCCACAGTGAGAAATACATTTTACGTTATGATCTAGTATACACACACACACACACACACACACACGAAGTAAAAAGTTTCTGACCACTATGTGCAATGCTCTTGGATAATTTCTATCCTCTGTTACTTCTATTTTATAACACAAATCTGGTCACAACCTTCTAAATTGGCTGATGGATGTTGGATTGCCACCTGAGAAACATGAACCCCAAATTGCAGAGAACAATC